TGCAATTACTCTATACCAACAGCTACAGGTTTGATTGTAGCACTAATTTCAGGTAAGGTACCGAGTTTAATTAGTGTTTTTTTTATTATTTTTAGTTCATTGTCTTGATTTCTAAAATAAGTCCTTGAAAATTGTTGGAACTTGTTGTCTGTTTTTATGATGCTGAAACTTTTCTTAGCTTCCCTAACTCTTACTCCAAAACAAGAATCAAATTTGAAAAAGATTGTTCTAGATCTTTCTTTTACAAAGCTTCTGAAGTTTTCTTTTACAAATCCTACTGCCATCATTTTACTTAGCTTCAAGAGCATTCTTTTTGTTGAATGGTTTAAGCATACATTTGTTTGAAGGATCATTTGGGACTTGAAAAAATGTAGCTTTTATTTGGATTTGATTATTTGATTTAATTATATTATTGTTTTGATTAGTTAGATTGAAACTTTGCTGTCAAGTATATTAATTAAATTTATAAATTTTTATTAAGTATCAAGATTAATCAAGTCCACTTAAGTTCGATTTGAGTTTTATCTTTAATCGAATTCAAACTTATAAAATAAAATTTGATCGAGCTTAAGCTGAGTTTGGAGCCTAAATATTTTAGTCAAGTTTGAGTTCAAGCATTATAATGTGTTAATTCGGTTCAACTCGATTATACATTTAATTTACAGTCATTTTTATATTTAATTTAATAAAAAATGAAAGAAAACTTAAAAATTTTAAAAATATATACAAAAGATTTAAAATTTTAAAAGTACTAAAATATAACAATAAAAATTTTAAAAATTTGTAATTTTTTTAAAAAATTAAGATATATTTTTTAAAATAAATTTTTTGTAATAATAAAAAAAAAACAAACAATGGAAAGAATCATGAAAGAGAAGGGGAAAGGAAAGAAGGGAAAGAGAGGAAAAAGAAGGAAAGTGAAAATCTACCGACCCAGAATGAATTATGGTTAATCCATCTAGTCCAATGTAAATTGGCGTCAATTTGCCCAATTTGGAGTAGATCAACTCGGTTTGCCCTTGGTCGACCAATTTTCGACATTAAATTTCACCTTCTTTCCTCTTCACGCCTTTCCCCTCTCTTCCCCTTCTTTCATTTCCTTTTCTTTCCCTAATTCTTTCCCTTTTTTTTACTTTTTATTAATTTTTTTAATTTAAAATTAAAATAGATTTAAAAAAAAAAAAACTTTATGCTAATGTGATAAATAAACTATATGTCTCTCATGAGTTTATTGGATGTTTTTGGCCATGTCAGCTATATAACTAACAATATTAGTCCAAAGGGCCGTATTTAACGAAATAAAAGTTTGAATATTTAATTGTAAATTTTAATTTTTTGAGTATTAAATTAACAGAAGTTATATACTACAGGGGCCAAATAGTATTTAACCCAAAAGTTTTTGTCCACTTGCTTCACCATGAAAACCATGCTTCGCCTTCGGGGAGGTCATTTAGGATAGGGTGGGAGCCCACCATTCAACATTGATGAACCCGGCCTGCCTAAGCCATGATGTAGAGTGTCGAGTGCCCTATTGCTATGTGTATCCCTATCTTCATTTCATAAAATTAAGCATAAAATTAATGCAATTTAATAGTTATTTTGTACTGATTGGCTAATTACCCCTTTGTTGGGTTACCACATCACCAACTAATTAGTTAAGCATGTTAATTCTTTTACATGTGTTTCTCACATTTATTTTCTTTCTCAATTTCTATGGAAACAAGCAAGTAGCTTTTTACTTAGGAGTGATTGGATGTTTATTATTTTTAAGATATTTATATTTGAATTTGATTATTAATTAAAATATTTGAATTTGATAATTATTTCAATATTTTTTATTTTTGCTACTTGAACTATACTCATAAAATATTAAGATTATATTATTCGAATTTGTTTAATTTTATTTATTAAATTAAAGTTTAACTTTCAAATTTAAAATTAAAATTAAATTAATATATTATTAAAAAATTAAATTAATAAATTAAAATTAACTCATACAAATGAATTAAAATTATAAATCATAATTAAAATATAATTGAATTCGAATAATAAATATCCTAAAATCAATATTCAAACCTATAATAGATAATAATTTTACTATCAAACCCTTAAAAACTTTATAAGATATTCTAATCCTTTAATCAGATCGAAAAGTTCTATGTACTTTTTTTTTCCCCAAAATTTCAGGCACCCGTTTATAGGGTACCCATTTGTAGTACTACTACTGGACCATAGCCTTAGTTAGAATGGAATCTAACTTGAAGGCATCGAGACAAGAAGGCAAGCAATTTTGTAGTATTGATACAGTTAATTTTTTAAGTTAAATAGGGTTTTATTTTTTTATTTTGTTATTGTTTATCTTTTAAAAAGAAAAAGACAAATAATGTGTTCGTTTGCAACGGTAAACTTTATTTTATAAAATTATATATTAAAAGAAATTATATTCATAACTAAATAATTTTTAATTTACATTAAAAAGAGAAATCATTAAACAAACCAAATTAACAGCCAACCAATCAATATATAATTTTGATAAATCCAACACTTTATTGAACATAAATCTAAAAATTTAAAAATTCGAAAGTTTCCTTCTTCCTATTGAAAAATTTTCTTTAATAAATAAATAATATTTTCAAATAAATAAATATATTTAAAAATATTCTATATTTCATATTTTAATCAAATAATTTTATTAGTGGTCAAATTATATCGAATAAAAAATTTATACCCATTTATATAATATAATATAAATATAACACTTTTTATTAATATTTTACTCTCCCAGATTGATCATGCAACTCCCTTTAATTCCAAGAAATAAGCCGAATATTAAACAATTGTAACACTAAAAAAGAAAATTAATAAGCTGATTTGTTAATAAAAATCCTAAATTCTTAATCCCACCTACCAAAATTTAAAATTTTCTCACTTCAAATACAAACAAAAAAAATAAGATCAGAAAAAAGAAAAGGATTGAAAAGAGGAAAAAGTAGCGTTCAATTTTTGAAAATTTCTTCAGATTGGTCTTATTTGGACCAATTTAGTTTACTTATCTGACCATTATAAATGCCGAACTACAGTCTAGAAGGTTAGATTAGGCTGAGCTTGTTCAAAGCCAACCATTCATCGTGCGATGTTTTCTAGTTTTGTCCTTAGAAAAAAAAAAGAATTATCATGAACTTTTTTTTTTTTCTGACCGCATATTTTTCTTCTGTTTTTAATTTTAAAAAAGAATTTATCAGTGGCTCAAAGCTTTTAGGAGATTCCATTACGGGAACAAGAATTTATAATGAAAAGCAAAAAAATACAAATAAATACAGACAAAAGCAATGGCCCCTTGGGGTGGGGTTGTTATATCTCTCAACACAAGAAAAATTATTATAATAATAAAAAATTCTAGTAAAATATATTATGCATTCATTATATATTTTTCATATATAAGGATTAAAATTTAATTATGTAATGAAAAATAATCATATTCCATCTTATAAATTTTCATATAATGAGCATTAACGATTGAGTTTAAAATAAATTATATAAATTTTATTTAATATAAATTATTTTAATTAATTTTATTCATAAAATTATTCACACATTCAATTAAAAAAACTACTCATTTTACTTTTGTAGTGGCGTACCTTCTTTGATTTCATCTTTTTTTTTTTTTTTTGAACCCGTGAGTCCGTGACCCACTTTAAAAGACCAAAATTATGGCTGAACAAATGAAAATTTTGGTCAACCAAAAAAAACAAAGGGAAATTTATGTAATGGATAGACTAAAAATAAAAGAAATCTCAAATATGAGGTTTAGAGTTTATATTTTGTAAAGTTAAAAAAAAAAAAAAAAAGAGAGTAGATTAATTAATATCTTTTGAAAAAAAAGATTTTTTTACAAAAAAAATTGTAAAATGAGAATTAAAAAAAATTATAAATGTTAAAATTTAAATTCTAAATATGTTAAATTCAATCAATTAATAATAATTATATGCATAAGTTAAATTAAACCTGTATTCTTTAAGAAATTAGAAGTATAATTCTGTTTCCTCTTATGATAGGCTGGCACTTAGTTCTTCTTCATTATTATATTTAGATTATTTTCAATGGGGAAAATGAGTGAGCTTATGAAAAATGAAAATCACGAAGCAGAGAGGTCATTGATTTCTTGAGAACAAGTCCTACAATGGCATATAATGCCAAAATAAGTCAATTACTTTCCCCAACCACCATTTGGTTTTGTATGGATGATAATGATGATGATGAGTTAGTCGGAAAGGTTAAAACCTAGTTAAGGCTAATGTGCTTAAGAAAGTAAATCTATCTTCATCAACCTATGGGTGGACTTGTCACCCTCAAGCACACATTTAATGGCAAAAAGTAGGCTTGAAATGGGTGTCATAAATAATTTTTTAATGTCCCATTAAACCCAAAACAAATTCATAATCATAAATGCACAAAAAGAGGGTCCAAAATTTTTGTGAAAATGTTAATAATTTTTTCAACACATAATGTAATTATTTGAAAAAAAAATTATTTTATCCATTTTTTTAGAAAAATATAAATACTACTCTCCAAGCCATATGGCTATGTTCTTTTTTTTATAGAATGTTATTCTTTTTTAATTTTTGGTTATTATTAACTATTTCTTGACTTCTAATTGTCTTTTCAATAAAAATATTCTAATTTTAATCATAGTATTTGTGTGTTAATAGAAATCTTTAACTAATGAAAATTAATTAATATTACTATGAATCCCACAAAAATAAAAATTAAATTAAATATGAAATGATAATTTTATTATTTTTATAATTATATTAGTGTTTGTCAATCACTTTTTGTATTTTTAAAATTTACACTTTTATATACAAAAAAGACAGTCTGCAAACCTTGTTGTGATTCATTCTCCAATTTTAATTACTCCTAAATCCAAAACCATGGTTAATGACATTTATATATGGACAACAATTAATTCTTATTTCCATTTTCATGGATAAAGATAAAATAGAGATGAAATAAGGCTGCATGCATAAAACACCAGTGTGCATATGAACAAATATTGGAACTTCATGGAATTCAACTATGACACCTCCAATGATTTGGGTTGTTTCAGAGATTGAGGTGGGATAAAACCTATGAGCATATTCCAGTTATCTTGCAGAAAATGACAGGCACCAATCTCATTTGTCCCACCACGAGTCTTACGCATATCTATTGGCAACAGAACTTATTTCAAACTTTCAAACACCAAATCTCATTATTTCCATCATAATCATCTACCAATCTCTAGAATCCAATAAGTGTTTCTCAAAAGTTGTTTTCGAGATGGTGGGCATGGTCTATGTGTTGAGGATAAGGCTGGTCAGAAGAATCTGTTGTTATATACAATTAGAGAATCGATGGAATCCAAAATATTTTTCATGACATTTATACCAAATGACATTGGAATGACAATCAATTTTGAATCATTGGCAAGGCAAATATGTTGCCAACAATGTTTGGAGCGATAATGAAAAAGTTTACAAGCTATGAAGATCCAAAAGAACGGAGAAATCAACACGGGCTTCAAGGCACCAGTCACAAGCTGGAAATATGATCTGAACCTACATCTGACCTTACACTAGAACTCTCCAGGTTGAATGCAAACGACTCTGCCAAAGCAACAGCATCCTGAACCCTAAGTCGGGTCCCCTGTTGCCCGACAACTGTGGCTGCTATCCTAGCTGCTAATGTACCCATGCCTTTCAAATCCGAGACACCTCGTAATATACCATACAAAATACCAGATGCATATGCATCACCAGCACCACATGTGTCCACTGGTACACATGGAGAGGGAGGAATATATACAGCTTCTCCTTTTACACCTATGTAAGATCCTCTAGGTCCATCTGTAACTGAGACCAGGGGAACAAAGTGACTAAGATACCTTGTTGCTGAAATAGGGCTTTCCTTTGAGGTAAAATGACATAGAGATCTTGCTTCGTCACTGTTTGCAAACACAATATCTGCATAATTGCCAACAATTTCCCTGGACAAGAAAGGCAAAACAATTAGTATTTGAGACCTAAATGCAACAAATTCCCACAGAACTTGACATGTAATGAGCTAAGGAATAGAACTCCTAGAAACGTTTAGAAGTTAAATCAAGACAATAAGAATCAAATACGGCTGCAAATTGTTTTAAAACAGTAAGCTCTATCAATCACCTTGTTAATACCGCCAATTTCTGAAGTAATCAGTAAGTTTCTCGTCTAACAAGTGGTTTTACCGTATGCAAATGCCCACAGGCATCTGACCTCTCAAGAAAATCGGAACTTCCTTTACTTTGTTAGGGTTCAGGCCATATACATCACTTTTTGTCAGATTCTCAACTTCTTCAAGAATACTAGAATATTCATGCATGATGATACCAATAATTGACCTTGTTTTCTCGTATCACACATAGCTTCTCCTAGAACACAGTGACGTGAAGAACACATGAATCTTTTTATCCAGACAAAAAACCTTTCCCTTAAAGACAAGTTCAAAAAATATTAACCATCCTTGAATTATACAGCTCAATTATGACCATGTACACTACTTTCCAACCTCTGAGGGTGAGCCTGAGGGTTTAGCTTCCTAAATGAAAAGCTCCATATAACTAAACAGCCTATCGCAATGTGGGAGCATATCATCTACAATGATTGTAGTACAATTAATCAATCACAATTCAAAATTATGTGAGATCAATCAAAATTTTATATGGAACCCACATTTATAAATGGTGGATACTACATAAATCTTTATTTTCATTGGACAATTGAAGCATTGTAGTAAAAAGAATTGTAGGTGATATGCTCCCTCACAATAGTGCCTGATGTTCAACATTTTGGCAAATTCAGTTTTTTTGAAGTTGTAGAGCTATATTTTCTCACCAAAAATCAAACATAAATTCCAGGATCCTTGGACCACTATCAAATTATGTTCAATCAAATTTACTCACAATTAAAACCAATTGGATTACTATTTTTTATGGAACATATAAACTCATTCCAGAGGACAAACACAAAAAGCCAATAACTCTAATAAGGTTGACCAAATTAGATAAAAAAAGTTACCAGAAATCATCATAATGTCTCTCAATGCAGGAGACATCTGATGCTGTGACTGCTACCAGGGCACCACTCCTGCATGCTTCTTCACATGCCTTTATAATAGTTCTGATTGTATCAGGAAGTTCAAATAAATAGCCCTCAACAACAAATATATTTGTCTTGGAGACAACACCATCCAAGCAAGAATCATAATTAATAGCCGATGATGTTCCCTGAAATAACAGAAAGAAGTTAATTATTAGGATCTCATGCAATTCACTTCCCAACCAACACATTTTCTAAAGAAAATTAGGACATCAGAGAGTTTCTGGCAGAACTTATTTGCAAGATCTTTTTCACAAGAAAGGAAAATGTGCGAAAGAATTTAGTATAAAGTGTTGTCGGATGAAAAGGAGTTTGCTCAAACATAAAATTTTATTTTTAAGACTATTATATTAGATGGACGAAAGCTCCATTGAAATTACATGTAAATTGCAAAGTCATGATAAGGCCAATAAGTAAATTGCACATATTAAAGTGGTTGAACAAGTTCATTGTCCTGGAGATGTTGAAAAAACAACAGCAGAAGCTAATGGACAAGTAAAAGTAATGGACCAGTAAAGTAAGGAAGCAAAAAGTAGATCCTGGATCCTGTTTTAATGCATCTTCCCCATAAGTAAGGGGTAATAAACAATATTCAGTTAAATACAACACGATGCATTACTCTCACTTATAACCTTGAATGGAAAGAAAAGTATAATTGAAAAAGAAGCATCATATTCTTTAACAATAGAAATGAAACACCCAATAATAGAGAAAGTTCACAAATGCTTGCTTTTCCAATTTGCAACTCAATGCTTAAGTGATTATGCATGTATGCGAGTTTGCAATATAAGTAACGTAATTACAATATGTTTTCCTTCTAATATAATTCAATCTAATGCCCAAAAAAGAAAGCCTGAAAGGACCAAGTGTGCTTTTACAGAGAATAAATATATCAATCATAACTCAACTGAAGGTAAATAGGAAAAAAGACTATGCTAATTGTCGAAGAAGTCTAACCTGATAAGAAAGCATTGTGCGCTGAGCATCTGGAGTTGTAAGAACTATCACTGTTCCAGTTGTTCCATCCTTAATAGGATCAGAAAGAAAATTCACATTTGCCCGATGTAGTTTTGCCCTAAATATATCAAGAAATTGGATCTTTAATTTAACAATACCATTACAAATATTGGAATGGGTTAAATAGTCAAATTTCGATTGCAGATGATAATTGACCAATTTAAGAGCAATCTCAGATCTCGTGCAGTTACAAGAGGCATTGAAGATACAAGAAACCTTAGATTATAGATATAACAGAATTACATAAAGCTTACAACGAATTTCTAAGATGTATAAAAGTAAGGAGAAACTAGACTTTATCATCATGGTAATATTGATAGTAAGGAGAAGTTCTCCTACATTATTTCTCTTCTCCCATCAAAGTTGAAACAGATGAAACTGCACATAAAACTACATTGAGAGAGGACCTACAAGATGCAAGGTAGGACACAAGGCTTTCTATCTAAAATGCTCAAATCAAAAGTTTAGTTCACTACATTTAAAAGGACTCGAGAAACTTTCACAGATTCATAGCATAATAATAACAAAAATTGCACAAGAGTAAGGAACAAGGAATGGAGTTCCACTGGATTAAAGGGGAAAAGAATAGTAAAGTTTAATAAAAGAAATGAAGTAAAATATAAGCTTATCGAGGGAAGTCTTATTTCTCCATCGTTCTTCCATAACTACATTCGAGACAAGAATCAGCAGAATATAAGATTATCAACTACCAACTTAATTATTCAAGGGTGAGAATTATCCTAACAGCCAGAATTTAGTTAACAAATATGGATACCACAAGAAATGTAGTTCCCTAGGACTCACAAATGCTTTTTGTTTCTTTTATTAAGTGCACCAAAATGGTGCACCACAGAAGTATATGGGAGCTATACAAGAGAAGCATGGAAACAAATTCAAAACAAAACAAAAAAAAGGGAAACAAACTTAGAAACTATAGCCCAAATTTTATGCTATCAAGAAACTCAACCAAAACAATGAATTAACGATGTAATAGATACCAAAAGCTTGAAGTAATATCCATCAAATCTTATCTTTAAATTTCCTATAGTAATGGTCAATCGCCTTAAAACCTCCACCAACTCTTTTATTAAACAAACTTCACCATAAAAAGAAGAAAAAATTTTCTAACAATGCGACTATTCAGACCCTGCAATACTTGTTGCAGTTCTTTTACTCATGCCAATACTTCCAATATAGTTCTTGGAAAACTTTAACGTACAGAAATAGGGAACAAAACCAATCCCCACACCTCATCACAAAATATTCTGAGTAAAAAAATCCCCATTGCATTAATTCCTAGTGTCAGTATATATGGAAGAGTGTGCAACACATGAGAGCACAATTCATAGAAAACAAACTCTTCTTAACAGCCAGCAAAGGCAAATAATAAGACATAATTTTTGCAAATTCTGTTCTTAATGGAGCTTCAACATGTTTCATCCGTCCATGAATTAAGTATTTTACAAAGCAGATAATCACCTAAAAAAAGCAGCTACAAATATCAAGTTCATTGAAAGGTTCTAACAAAATTCAGCATGCAATGCAAATGTCTGGTATCTATGTACCTAGAACATGCAGCTTTTTCATCCTCTCAACCCTCAAACTGACAAAATACTTCCATTTCAGCTTATCAAGATCACAAATGCAATCTGATTAGATCAGGACCAGAAATCCAGAAAGAAATACCAGATCATTCTAACAATACCAATAGACCTCCTAAATTTATCAATCATCATACTTCAAAGTCCTGCAGAGTGTTGATTTCTAACAAAGGAACCGGCAAATACTTAATGACCCACCTAATATCTAATTAATATAGCCAAATCATCTTTAAAACAGTCATACAACATTTCAGGCCAGATTAAATAAGAGCAACCAACCACATCCAGCCATCTTTGGCAGTGAACCAATTATTCTTACTAAACAGTATAACTTAGAAAAAAATTCATTTCTTTTCATATTTTTTTATAAGCAGGGGTGGGTTCTAACAGTTATGACAAGAAAATATAATAGGTACTCTCAGCAAATTAATAAGATAAGTTCTATTAAAAAGATAGCACTAGAAATATCAGATTCAGACATATTTATTCTAAAAGGACAATGCATGTCCATTATCATTTTGTTTCCTTGGAGCAGCTTAAACATCTACAGTGCCATTAGCAAGAAATTTCAATTAAAGACTCACACAATAAAACAAGTTGAGAAAGGGAATACAACAAGATATTTCTCACAACAAAATCTTACCTGTAGAAGCCACCCAATGGATCACTACCTACGCTGCCTGCCATAGCTACATTTAACGCAGGGCCTCCAATGGGCTTACAACCAAGCCTTGCCAAAGCCACCAGACTGTTGGAAAGAGATCCTCCAGCAGCTGCCTTATAGCTGCAGCCATCCATAGCCTGCAAAACTTTACCCCTCTCCTCATGATTTACAACCTTCCGAGTTCCCTTCCCTAATCCCAATCTCTCCAAGAATTCATCATCAACCATGCCAGAAAAGTCTACCTAAAAATTATTCGTACAAAAATTTATAAAAAAGGTTTAATATATTGCAAACAAAATAACAACAAAAGCTGCTAAGCAGGAAGTAAAATTAGAGTAAACAATAAAAAAGGATAATAAAAAAACAGGTGCCAAGAATATAAGCAGCCATGTCTTCCAATCAATTCTCAGCATTTGCAGAGAATAAAAAAAATTCAACATTCACAAATAAATAAAGCAGACCAGCTAAAGAGTTAAGTTTTGAAATTTCTATTCAATTGTTATAGCATCACGCGAAGTCTCTCTATACTGGTTTATGCCCTCAAGAATCCCATTTCAACAATCAACATCTTCTAATTCGTTTTATGTAAAGCTACAAAAGCACAAACCAGTAAGAACGCCCTAATTGACAAAGCAGATTATTAAACAACATGTAGAATGGGAAACAATTCTTTGACCTATTGCCAATTTTTTTACCACTTCTCAATGGACGTAAAATAGAGTAAATACCTCCAATTTTACCCAACTTTTCCTCAATAAGTAAGGTTCTATGTTGTTGATATGTTTACTACATGCTTTTTGCTTCTGAAAGTAAAGGTAAAAAATGCATCTAAATTCTAAATTAAAAGGCAAAACATCTTTTAATTAAATTTTGCCAGACAAAATGCATAATACCACTTTTATACCAACAGTTATATTTCAATGCATATGATACCAAACTAGTAAGTGAATTTTATCAAACATGATAATGATTTTAACTACCTTTAAAAAAACAAAAGGAAAATTGTAAACAGTAGGTAGCTAAACTAACCATCAAAGCCTTGACGATTTAAAAGCAACAAAAAAGGGAGAACATAGGAGCCAAATTCTATTTTCCTTTCTAAGAAACAAAACATAATGTACTAAATTACATGGCTTGTATCCTTAACATGCAATTCTATTGTCTTTTCCCTATTTTTTTCCTAAAAACACAATAAAAAACTTAACCTTAGAAGTATTATAAATTTAAAACAACAAAACATTTAAAAAAAGAAAGGTCATGAAATATACCATGGCTTGACCAAGGCCAAGAACATCCCATCTGTCAGGCAAAACACAAAACGACCCATGACCCTCTTCTACTTCATCCTCCTCCTCCTCTTCACTCTCAAATTCTTCTCCTTTGCTACTACTACAGTTACTACTCCCTCTAGAACTACAAAGAGAAGAAACCCAAAAAAATCCACCTTTTTCTTTCCCCATTGAACCAGGATTCACCCTCTCTTTGCCTTTCCAATCACCCAAAATCCCAAACCCTCTTATAATCCCTCCATTCCCATAACTTTGTTTGAGGTGATATAGGGAAGGAAAAGGAGAAGAATGGAAGTGGTAAAGAGAGAAAATTGGAGAGCAAAAAACGGAGTTGACTTGTGGAGGAGATGAAATAAAATTAAGGAAAGAGAAAGACATGGTAACCGTTTCAAAGTTCAATATTTTCTTTCTATTTTCTACTCTTTGTTTTATTGACTAAAATGGGATTTCTTTTTATCGAGAAAATTCTCGGTTTTGGGTTTTCTTTGTTTAGAATGGAGAAGTGAAAGCAGTGGCCATGAAAGACATCTCCATCCACAGACTTCGGTGAATGTTTGAGAGAAGAGACTCTTTGCTTTGCCTTTCCATTTTCTGTGTCCAGGATAAAATGTTTTTATATTTGAGTTCCAAGATTTGGTTACGTGGATGTCTGATCGTTTTAGATATGGAAAATTTTGAGCCCGTTTTGTTTAACGGGTTGTATGAACTCAATCTCATTGTTAGAAGCCCAATCTTTCATTTTACAAATTTTGGAAACCTCACTTTTACTTATCTCGATAAAATTTTCAAGCTGGTCAAATCCAATTTTGTGAGAATATTTTATTATTAAATAATTATATTTATTTAATTTTAATTTTAAAATTTATTTAAAATATTAATATCAAAATATTTTTAATATTTTTATAATAAAATTTAAATTAAATGTTCAAATGGTCAAACTTTGTGCAAGTATTAAATATGTCAAATGAATCATATCTAACTCATGAACATAGGAATTTTCAATAAAATTTATTATTTATTTATTTTTTAGCATCCATAATTTATACACTAGGAATATCCATAGTTTTTGGTGCTTGACCTTTAATTAAAGAACCTTGCTACTAAGTTCTATAAAAAAAAACTAAATTCTAGTATTAGTTTCTAGTAATTTACATTAAATAAAGAAATTAAAAATAGAATATTAGTGATTTTCATTATATGAATGTACAAAATGTAAATATATGTACATAAGAAGATAATTGGAGAGGGATAGAACATAGAACTACTATACCATAGGAAAAGACATGAAATTTCTAGAAACTTTCCTTGCCACCACAAAGGCCCTCACTCACATCAAGCACCAAAAACTATGGATGTTCCAACTGTTTAAATTAAAAGATAATTTGTCAAATTTCCTTCTTCTCCCTTCCTTTTTAGCTTTTTTAAAAAAGAGAAATTATTAAATATATTAAAATTGAAATTTTAATTCCATAAATAAGATTAAGATGATAGTATATGTCTTTTAATATTTAAAATAATTAATTTTAAAAATTAGATATATGTCATTATTTTAATTCCACTTATAAAATTAAAAAAAAAAACTCTACTGTCAATATATTAAATAATTTCTCTTTAAAAAATTACCTCTTACTTTCACCATAAAATTTTTAAATTTGATTAAAGAGTTAACAAGTGTCTCTATAAAAGTATATTTATAAAAATAATTAATAATTAAATGAATGCATCATTTGTGCATAATCTAAAAATTTTATTGTTAATATATAACATTTAAATTTAAATTTATTTATTTTATATATTGAGAAAAAAGAGATTAAATTTTTAATTTTCAAATACAAAAAAATATATTAACCATTAAATAATGTTTTATTTGAAATAAACAAATTTTATTATTAGGTTCTAGATATGCATGCTAAAAAGAAATTTTCATTTTATTTTTTGTTCAAATTTCTTATTAAAAACACCAATAATAGATAGTAATTTTCTTCCCTTTATGTGAAATCTTAATTGATTTTTTCTTTCCCAAAATACTTAAAATAAAATAAAATACTAAAATGATAAATGATGAACAAATTTTAAATTCATGAACTTTTTTGTATTTTTTTATTATTTTATCTTATATAAATATATAAAAATCAAAATTTTTGGTCAAAAAGGAAATTATCTAACGTAGATATCCTAAATAATTGATATGTGGATGGTTTTGAAAAATAGCTGTGTCTTGTAGTTAAAATTTTTATTTAATTTGATTTAAATTAAAAAAATTTCAAATAACTAATTATATTTCTTTCATTTTAAATTTCAATTTAATTACTTCCCTTTTACATTTATATGACATTTTTATAGTCTTTTATAATTAAAATTTTAACTTAAATTATATTGAATAACAATATTTTATTTTCATATTTGTCAAAAGATTTTAATATAAATTTAAACTGTCTACAGTTATTTTTAATTTTATGTCTAAATAAGTTATGTGATGAAATTATTCTTTGCGATCATTGTTATTGTCTTCCATAAGTAATTATCATTTTAATTTATTGTCAACTTTTCATGTTTAAAATTTGTAAATCTTATACCTCATATTAAATTTATAAAAGTCAAAGCTTTTTGCTAAAATAAAAAATGTTTAATTTAGATAGCTTATATTATTGATATGTGGATAGTTTTAAAAAATAATTATGCATCCTGCATTAAAATTTTTTATTTAATTTGATTTAAATTAAAAAATATTTCAAATAATTAATTATATTACTTTCCTTTTAAATTTTCAATATAACTACTAACCTTTTTACATTTTGTGACTTTTTATAATCTTTTAGAATTAAAATTTTAACTTAAATTATATTAAATATTAATATTTTCTTTCTATATTTGCCAAAGGGCTTTACTATAAATTTAAACTATCTACAATTATGCTTGATTTTATGTTAAAATAAGTTATGTAATGAGATTATTCTTTGCAATCTATTGATATTGCCTTCCATAAATAATTTTTTTTTTAATTTATGGTCAACTTTTCACATATAAATTTCATAAATTTAAGTATTTTTATAATTAATTTGCTGACCAATCACAATTATAAATTAGATGTTGATTTAGAGAGCAACGAAGCTTCTAGATTTGAGTTTGTATAAAAAAATTTTTACGACCCAATTTTTGTCGATGTATTCATTTGCATATTCAAATGATCTTATGATTATGCCTTTGTATATATATTTTGTTTTGAATGGTGCAATATTTTATTTGTTTAATTTTTATATTATGAAATACAATATGCACTTCATATAAAATTTTATTGTAGTTTGATTTTATATGCAAGTGGTCTTAGTTAAAGTATAAAAAGAGTTGACATTACTAACGCTTGGTCTGAGTAGTAAGGAGCTTAGTTTTTTTTAAGTAAGATCTCGATTTTAAGTCTTATGAATAAAGAAAATAAATTTATAAAAGTTTGTCCCCCTTATAAGATCTAATCCGACTCGATTTCAAATTAATCGAAACTTAAAATAATTACCAGATATCGAAAGATCCTCGACTAAGAAACAAAGAAGTGATGTTAAAAAATTATGGACATTGTAAAAATTCAAATGAGTAATTATTTGTCTTAGTTAGAAGTACAGTGATTCTTTATATGCTTAATATAAAAATCACTCTACTCATAAAATTTTTAAATATTTTGAGGAGAATATAAAAGGAAGATTCAACAACTATAAAAAAATTATTTAGGATGCTGCCAGTTTAATTTTTTTTCCAAACTTAAGGCATCATTCAAAAAATATTTGATTCCATATAAGATTCATTTTCATTTTAGTTGATATTAAGTTTATTTTTTACATGAGTATGTTTAGAGATAATGTGAATAAGTTTTAAATATGTTATATTTTTCTTCTACTATTTATTACAAAATTAAAATACAAACAAAATTTTGTTTAATTATTTATTACAAAAATAAATTACAAAAAATAGTATAACTAATTAAAAAGTATTTTTATTATGATATTTTAAGAATAATATTATCTCATTTTATGAATTTATTAATAGTATTTTTAAATCTATAATCATTGTTTTTAATTAATTTTTTCAAAATTTAATTGAGTTTTATCTTAATTAACGACGATTTTTATATTATGAAATTATATCGTATTATCATTATAATCATTTTTGAAAAATGTAACAAGAGATGCAAGTGTAATATAAAAATATGGATTCACGCATTTTTTTTCCTTAGATTTCTTTAACTCAAATCAGTACATATAATTTTACAAACTAAAATATATAATTAAAACTCTTTACATTATTTCTTTTAATTTTGATAATTTCATAGTTGTTCTAATTTTTATATTTTAGTCCATACAATTGTATAAAAATCTACTACTAAATGCAAATCGGTGTCAAAACATTTATTTTTTACTGAATTAATTACATTAATTTTCTTTTAAATATCTATTTACCTTACTGTTTTGATTATTTATTTTTTAAAAATTAAATGTCTAATTGAAATAAAATTGTTTTGAAATCATGATAATTTACTGGAAATATCAATCTACCTTTTTTAAATATTAATTCCTTGTCAAACCAAATTTAAAAATTTGATTTAATTCAAAATATTTTTTCCTTTTCAATCATATCTCATTAAATATCATGATTCAATCTTTTTATCACTTTGTATATCACTTAAATTATAAAATGTTAGATTTTTAAATTTATTCAAAATATAATTTTCGTAACTTTTACAATTTTTACCTAATCAATCAAAAGTTTTTATTACTATTTTACTTTTTTTTTTTGTATTCCGTGTTTATTTTTTTCCTTTTATATCAATTTATTATCTTTTTCCATTAAATAATTATATAATATGCTTTATTAACTTAAATAAATTGACTTAACTTTTTACATACATCTATCAATTTATTTTTTTAATATTATCTATATTTAAAATTTTATAGAATATTTTAAAAAATTATATTTTAATACAACATTTTATATGAGTTTATGTATTTTAGATAGGTTACATATTTTAAAAAAAATTGTGTCAAGAATACTTATTTTATTTAAAGTAAAAATTATCAATTTATATTTTAAAATTTTTTATTTTTATATAAAATTTATTAATTATATTATAATTAAATTATAAATATATAATTATTACCCGTACATTAGACGGGCTTAAAACTAGTTTATAACAATTTTTGGGTACTTCTTGGTTCCTCATGTGCTTTGTACCGACATTCATTATGAAACCCAAATGTTGGTCCCACTACCTGATAGCCACGCGTCAAATTTGTAATACAAAATCTGCTGGAGACTACTCACAGCAGCACCAGATCCTTACTCTTCAATCGAAATCCGTTTGAAGCTCTTCTTGGCGATCGCTCTCTTGGCCAGAAGAACAGAGCCACAACAGAAAAAAAAAATAGTTTTCAGGTAAATGATTGGGCACGGTTTTTATCTTTTTTTCTTCTAATAGTTGGATTAAATCTCTTCTAATTTTTTTTCTTGAATTTCCTCCGAATTTTCTTTCAATCCAAACTATACTCAAATTTTGTCTTCCTCTCTCATCTCTGGATTTACAATTTATTTTCTTTTATTTTTTGTTAAATAATTTAAAGGTGATTTAAAGTAATTTATTTTCCTAATTCGTTTTTATAAATTTTGATGAATTTTCATGTAATCAGACTAGTTCAACTTGCATTTTCTCTGATTAAATTTTTTTCATTCTCCAGAAAAATTTATTTTATTTCCGAAATTTTAGCTGATAAATGAATTAAATTTTAGGTTAGATTAATCAGATTTGATCGGTAAATATTTATCCCCAGATTTGATAAAATTAAAATAATTATAGATTTCTGTGGTGTATTTGTAGGTAAAATGGAGGGGATTTTTAATTTTAAATTTCTTAATTATTTGATTTACTTTTTTGGTTGAAATTTTTAGGGATTTAAATTTGTGTGGAATTTGAAATAGTTTTTGAGTATCAATGGACCGTGCTGAACTAACCACTGAACAGGTTAGTGATCTGATCACTTCATTTGCTTTATTAGTTATGTTTTTATATTAAAAGTAAGTATTTATTGAGTTTCAAGCATCGATTTCTTTTGGTATCGAAATTTGAAAGCGTTAGCGGTCGTTTGGTCATTGCCTTCGTTATTTTTCCTTTTGCTTTTTGAAGCAAAATGTAGAAAGTGCGGTTGGATATAAAAGCGAATGATAACTTTGAAGAATTAGACATTAAAATTGTAAAACTTTTTCTGCAAGAATTAGATATTAAAATTTTATGTCTAATTGTGGATTTGGTTTATTTCTATGGGTGCTTCTTTTAGTTTTCTGTTATCGAATGCCAAAATCAGTCTTTTGTATTTGAAGTGGTATTCTAGTTTTTGACACCCTGAGAAGCATGGACCTTCTTAAGAAAAAGTTAGATATTCTCCACACGGACAGCTTTGAGGGTCTACACTGCTGAGGCTTCTTTTAGATGCTTCAAATTGTTTGTTTGTTGATCTCGTCATGGGTAGCGGAGCACATTATTATTTGTTTTGTCATTTAGAATTTCCCTGATTATAAATTTTTTGAGCATTTCATCCTGTGTTTAAGTTGTTACGGTGGTTTCCTAGTTCAAAGAATCTAAATTATTTTATTTTTTTGGCAGTTCTGTCAGATGTAATTAATTATGAATGGTATTACTTGTTAATGGTGATTCCATTTTCTCTTTTAAAGGTTCTGAAGAGGGACATCCCATGGGAAACATACATGACAACTAAGCTGATTTCAGGAACAGGTCTACAGCTGTTAAGGCGATATGATAATAGAGCTGAAAATGTTAGGGCACAGTTGTTGGATGATGTAATGTTTAATAGCTCTTCTTAACTTATGATCTGGTTTATCTTATGCATATGTTCTTTCTTTTCTCCCCCTTCAATTAATTCAATAGTTTAATTAACTTCAGTTCCATCATAAACCTAATGAGCTTTTGAAAGCCTAAATAAAATTCTATGGGAAAATCTAATAGAATCAAGGATAAAAGAAAGATTTTATGGAGTCTTTGCAATGATGTTGATTGGTGAAATTGACTGTGACAGGATGGTCCAGCCTATGTTCGAGTCTTTGTTAACATATTACGTGATATATTTAAGGAAGAAACAGTGGAATATGTTCTGGCTTTAATTGACGAAATGCTTGCAGGTATTTGAAGAATATTGGTCTTGTGATGACACATTTATCATAAATAAATTTACTTACCATTATTTTCTATGGCAGCCAATCCGAAACGAGCCAGATTATTTCATGACAAGTCTCTTTCAAATGAAGATACTTATGAACCTTTCCTAAGTTAAGTTTTTTACTCAAAATTGTTTTCTTCGTTAATCTGTCGCTTTTTTTTTTTTTTTTTTGCATCTGTGTGTGTGGATTAGTAAGGTGGCTGATACTCTTTAATCTGTAAATTATCAATTGACTAGCAGTACTCTAATACAGTATATAGTGTCTGTTTGATGATTCCTTTATGGTCAGAATTACCTTTCTAAATGTTATATTTATGAATATTGGCTTCACTTGTCCTTTATTGCATTTTTATTTTGACACTGAATTGAGTTGGTTCTTTGGCACTGAATCTGCTTATGACTCAAGCTGGCTTTTGTTGTTAATGATGGCTGTGATTCTTTAGGATACTTGTTTCGTTGAAAAGTAGATGTTGGACCATTGAAGACACAACAGTTTTATCCTCTCGCTTGAGGTTGTCGGGTTTATTTTGATAGAGTTGGCTCCATCTGCAAAATGAGCTTGTACAGTATCAGGATTTTTCATGTCTTGCACCTAACTGAGTTTTATGTGATTCTTTGCCATAAGTTGTCCATTTAGATATAAATAATTGGTAAGCATGTTTTGTGAGTGTATTTGATATCATGTATGAAAATATACATGTATGCAACTGGCTCCCTGTCTGAATGTTTGGGAAAATTTAGGTGGTGATCTCAGTTCAAAGGTTTGAGTTACCATATGGTCAGGAGATATGTTTTGTGAGTGTATTTGATATCATGTATGAAAATATACATGCAACTGGCTCCCCATCTAAATGTTTGGGAAATTTAGGTGGTGATCTCAGTTCAAAGGTTCTAGTTACCATATGGTCAGTAGACATGGTATTTATGAGGAGCTTGTGCTACTTCTGTCTGCTGCTAGCTGCGAGAAATTTTAGGTGCAAATAACTTGTATTTTGAATGTCACCAAGCATCTGCTGTTGGATTATATATTGCTATCAATGTCATATGTTCTGTCTCTATCTTTATTCTACCCTCTGGCTGTATTACCTTGTAGAATTGGAAGAATACTAGTGTTCCTTAGTTAACTTTGAAGATATTTGTTCATATATACTCGATTTCTTATCTTGTTCTGAATTATCTGAACTAAAACTAACAATCCACAATTTGGTCTCACTTTCAGATTGCTCTGGAAAGGTAACTGGTTCATACAAGAAAAGAGCTGCAAGATACTTGCCTTGATAGTAAGGTACAAAAATGTGTGATCCAAGTGATGAAGTACAGGTTTAAAGAAACTTAACCAAATGGCTTAGTGTCTGACATGCATTATTTAATGGCTCTTCACATTTGTCTTTCTATTAACTTATAGTGCCAGGCCAAAAACCCAGGATGGTGTTGTTGCAAATGGAAAAGCCTCAAATTCAAAGCAAAAGTTCACTACCATTGATGATGTACTAAAAGGATTGGTTGAATGGCTTTGCACACAGGTGAGTATACTGTTTTGGATCTGTTTTTCATAGTCTGCAAAGCAGTGCTCATTTCTTACGGCTGGAAGTTGACTGCCTTGGTAGATTTTGACTAGATTCTCCCTATGATTTTGCATACCTTCTGGAAGTTCCCTCCTCCATTTTATTGTCTCTGGTCTTCTCATTCTCATTCATGACTTTGTTTCAAAATGATTTCTTGTGAAGAAGGTTCTATTTATTTGTCAACTTAGATTTTAGTTGTCCTTACTTCCTGATGCCCTATGTCTTTTGCAGCTGAAGAAGCCTTCTCATCCTAGTCGTGGTATTCCAACTGCTATTAACTGCCTTGCGGCATTACTGAAGGAACCTGTTGTCAGATCTTCCTTTGTTCAAGTAGATGGGGTGAAATTGTTGATTCCTTTAATTTCTCCGGCATCCACCCAGCAATCTATCCAGGTATTCTTTTTTTTTATTTCACATTTTAAGGTGGCTAGGTTTGAAAAATGAGAATCCTTGTGTAGCATAATTCTGAAATTGACAACTAATCTTTGTAACAGCTTCTTTATGAAACTTGTCTCTGTATGTGGCTTTTATCCTACTATGAACCGGCAGTTGAGTATTTGGCAACATCTAGGGCTCTACCACGATTGGTTGATGTTGTTAGGAGTTCCACAAAGGAGAAGGTGAGGTCTTGTTTCTTATGTTATTGAGTACATTTTGTAATGTCTATGTTGCTGGAATAAAACATATGCATGAGCAGGCATCCTATAATGTGGTATATGACCAGATTTCTGTTATTTTCCTAGCTTTCCTGTTTTGCCCTTTAACCTTCTCTATGATTCTGTATTGGCTTTGAATTTTTGTTGTTACCAGGGACAAATGCATGCTTTCAAGTTCAGGCTGATTAATCTGTCTATGTTATTGATTAGTCTTGTTAATTTAATCATTTGAAACATAAATGTTTGATTTGTATAAATTTGTTTATTTGGACATGAACAATGGCTGCCAGGTTGTCAGGGTGGTTGTATTGACCTTTAGGAACTTGTTGTCCAAAGGCACATTTGGTGCTCAGATGGTTGACCTTGGACTGCCACAAATTGTTCAGAGTTTGAAAGCACAAGCATGGAGTGATGAGGTAAGAAAATGGAAGGTTTAATACTTATTTGGCTATGTAGTCTTATGTTAAATCTTATTTTCCTCAAACTTAATTTTGATGTACTATTTACATACTAATGCTTGCTTATTGAATGGATTTGAATATCTCATAGGATCTATTGGAGGCTCTCAATCAACTTGAAGATGGGCTGAAGGATAACATTAAGAAATTGAGTTCCTTTGATAAATATAAGCAAGAAGTTCTCCTTGGTCATCTTGATTGGTCACCTATGCATAAAGATCCATTGTTTTGGCGTGATAATATAACATGCTTTGAAGAGAATGATTTCCGGGTATATGTCTGCCTTCCTTTCATTTGGCTTTCTCATGGCTTTCATGTTCTCATGCTATTTACTTGCTTGAGTAACTTAATGAAGAGGGGTTCAAATATAAAAATGCTAATTTGTCCAAATGGTTTGTCCAAAATTCACCGACCACCCAAACCTTTTAAACCTTTTATGTGAGGAACACCAACCGATCACTGCTGCGCACTGCCATGCATGCAAACTGCTAATATGGACAAGAGTTTTTGTCTTTTGGTATGGCTCACTATTACTCTTAAAAGGAAAGTATTTCCATGGTACATTAGTGAAGATGATAGAGTTTTTGTCTTTTGGTATGGCTCACTATTACTCTTAAAAGGAAAGTATTTCCATGGTACATTAGTGAAGATGATTAGTCAATATGTAACTCCCAGGTGATTGCTTGCATTTTGGTAACAATGATTCATGTACGAGTCTTCGAGAAAAGAGGTCTTCAAGAAAAGAATGCATAGTCTGATGCTTTTAAAATTAATTTTCTGATATGGTGACTCTGGCAAGTTATGACGGCTCATTGATTCTTGCTGCTAGAGCGGACAATACCTCACAAGGGTGTGAACCGTGGCGAGAAGGCTGATCTGGGACGCCGGAAGGGTGAATGCCCGGGTCCCGGAGCCGCGCGGGTTCGGAGCTTGAGTCTCGACCCGTGACAAGTGGTATCAGAGCCAGCCCTAAACCGTTCGATCCACGCCGAGCGCCTCGAGGGAGGTAGGCAGGATGGCCGGCCTCCGTGACGAGGGCGTCACGAGGTTGGGTGCGGGAGAATGTCACGGACCTAAGGGGGAGTCCTGAATCCCACATCGAACATAATATGAGGGTCCCTGAGGTATAAAAAGGCTCACACCACCTCCGCCTTGCGAGGCGCCTTTTGTAGGACAAAACCGTGAGGCCAAGGGGGCCAGAGCGGACAATTGTATTAGTCGTTGCAACAAATTATTATCATAACAATTTGAACACGTTTGCTACTGTTCTGATATTTTAACATTACATTTTTAATTTATTTTATTTTTTGCTGCATCTGAACGTGGTTTCGGAATAACAGAATCAGTCAGAAGAATCATACTTGCAATGGTTTTGAATATCCAAATAGAAAACTTTGTGTTGTAATTAGTTATCTGCTTTTCCAGATTATAAGGGTCCTCATTACAATTATGGACTCATCCAATGATCCAAGAGCTCTGGCTGTTGCTTGCTTTGATCTCTCACAATTTATTCAGCACCATCCTGCTGGGAGGGTGATAGTGACTGATCTCAAGGCCAAGGAACGGGTGATGAAATTGATGAACCACGAGAGTGCTGAGGTTACCAAGAATGCCTTACTCTGCATCCAGAGGCTTTTCCTAGGTGCCAAATATGCTAGCTTTTTGCAGGCCTAGTTTGCTTTAATGGTGCATGGCCGTGTCTCTTTCTCTCATGGAAGTGATACAGCGAGCGGATGGTAAGTAAATTCGGCTCAGCAGGTGTTTTATTTTCATTCCAGTAATTAATAGGGCTGGTCTCCTATCGGATATTTGATTGTCAAATTGTCTAGGATGAATCCTTTTGCTTTTTGTCAAAAACTCCAAAATATTATTATTATTTTTATTTTTTAGATTTTGAGTCGTGGAATTGAATAAAATGATGGAGATTTAGCTTTAAGATTTAAATCTTGACAATTTCTTGAAAGAAAAAGGTTTTTTCAATTGTCAATCAATTGAAAGTGCCTATACAAAGTGATAGACGCCTTTTTTTTTTTTTTCATAATACTTTTTAAAGGCCCTTTCCTCATTGAATTTGGAAGTTATGCGGTTTTGTTACGATGGTAGTCTACTTTTTTGTTTTTTTCCCGAAACAGAACACTACTTGTTAAAGTTTTCTTTATACTTTATACTGTTTGATTTTGTTAAAAAAGGATGGTAGTGAAGTACATAATTACTTTATTAATAAGTGGTTGGTTTAATCGATTAGGTTTGATTTTTTTGATAAAAAAGTTTTGAATTCGAGTTTTATCGGTGATTATTTATTGGAGTTAATTTGAATGTACGATTTGTAGTTATTTATTTTAGATTGTCGGAATGACACATCTTGTTCTGATATGATGGAATGGATAATTTATTTATTTTTGAATTTTTTTATCCAAAAAAAACATAATTACTTCAATTATGATTGAGCAAATATTTACAAAATGAATTCAAAAGTTTTAATTTCAATATTAAAATTTTCATAATCAATTTTGATTTTTTAATCCGAAGGAACTTTTATCCCTTTACATTTTATTTCAAAAAACAAAATGCAAATAATTAGAGGAATAATAATGTTTAAGGTGTGTTTGGTAAAGAGAAAAAATGAAAAAAAAAAAAAATTGTGGCAAGCTTGGCAAGAGAGAAAAGTGAAAGAAAGGAAATCAATTTTATCTTTATTCATAAACAAATTTTAAATTGAAAAATAAAGACATAAATAAGTGGTAAGTGTTGCATATTAAAAAGATTATATATCATATTTAAAATTTTTATTTTCATCTTTATTTAAAAAAGATTATACTAATAAATAATATAGTTTTTATTTTTCAACTCTATCGAATGAAAAAAATTTACTTTCTTTTAATGTTTATTTTTTCAACTTAACACACACACGAAAATAAAAAAATATATTTTTACTTTTCCTCATTCGGATTTTAAGTCAATTTTCCAGATTTAAAATCGTCTTACGGTCAGATCATCCTAATAAAAAAAATTAAAGAAAGCAAATTCAAGCATCATACACCAACATTCACCACCATTTTCCCCTTAACATCGAATTGTCGAACTATATTATAAACTATAAACTCCAAATTATGTATGGTCTTTTTTATTTCCTCTCAGTTTAATTTGTTTGTTTTGCCATTTTTTTTTTCCGTGAAGGACAAATAAAGTACATCCCAAACAAATAATTGAATATCACTTTTTCCGATGCTTCTTTAGCGTGTGTCTGTAAATTAATATTTTGGCAGGGATGGGAAGATGGTAAAGCCGCAAAGGCATAAAACACGCTTTTCAAATATATATATATATATATATATATATATATATACACATCCACTTATATATTTATATATTTATATATAAATAAATAATAAATAGATAGATAAATATATGATATTAGTATAAGTTGATTTATATATATATATATATAATTAAGATTTAATTTAATTGATTTATATAATAACTATAATATTTAACAAATTTTATATTTAAATTTCAATATTTTTAATTTTTTAAATTTCAATCTATTACTTCATTTACATAAAAATATTATAATTTAATTGATTTTTATTGATTAAATCTTAAAATAAATAAGTTCATTAATATTTTTAATCAAAACAAAATCCATGCTATTTAAAAATAAAAATAAAAATTATGCATTTGAAATTCACAAACTAATAAAGAGTCATTATAAGATTCGAATAAAAAATTATTTACAATGAAATGAAGGAATTTGCATCAATTGAGTTCAAGTTTTATTGATTAATTGAATTAGATTTAAAAAAAGATGCCAATAATTTGTTAGACAAATAAATCCATTGCCTTTAGTTATAATTTGATAGAATCTCAATTTTCTCAAACCTTTCTTTTGTTTCCTCACTCTCTCATGCTCAACCTTCAAAGAATCAATGCCTTGGCCTGACCTGACTACACTTACAGTTGAAACCTTTCCTTTGCATTTTGGAGATAGAATATCTAAAACAGTAAAAGGGTAAAGAATATTTGCTTGTTGATTTGTTATGCTTAATGGAGACAGCAACATACAACATGCAAGGCAATTAGCAAAATACCCCACAATCATTCACAGTTAATTTGTTCGAACACCATTTCCCTCTGACTCAAAATCATGGCTGAATCCATCGCTTTTAACATTGCAGAAAAAATCCTTCGGAAACTGGCCCATTTTGTCCATCAAGAAATTTGTCTAGTTTGGGGGCTCCAAAGTGACCTTGAGAAGCTCAAGAAGACGTTTAACTATTATCAAAGCTGTGCTTTCGGATGCTGATGAAGAAAAACAAGTTCATAACAATCAGTTGCGGGTTTGGCTACAAGAGTTGAAGATGCCTGTTATGACGTAGAAGTTGTATTGGATGAATTTGAAATTGAAGAAATCTTGCGGAGACAAGTTCTGAAACAGAGGAGCATCGGGAAGAAGGTAAGCCATTTCTTTTCAAGCCCAAACCTGCTTGCATTTTCATGTAGCATGGCCCCATACGATGAAAAAAGTCACAAAGAGGTTAGATGAAATTGCTGCTTTGAAAGCCAAATTTCATCTCACAAAAAGACATGAAAAGTCTCTGGGGTGTCGGTTCAGGATATCGTTTACTTTGATCTTATTAGGCCACGCTGCTGTCTTAAAAAATTGACTTACAAGTTAAAAGATAATGTAAATATTTATATTCTAAAATCAATTTTAATACATAATTCATATGAGATTTATGATTCTTCTTTACGATTATGACATCTCCCACTATTACAAGTCGTTAATTATTTTAGAGTTAACTCTGATATCAAATATTACGGTTCATTTAAGGTATTATTTATTTTGATCTTACTTAATTTTATTTCACAAAAAATGCTTTACAAGTTAAAGATGATTGAACATTTATATTTTAAAATTAACTCTAATACACAGCCAAAAAGAATTTATGACTCATCTCTAAAATCATAACACTAAGCATGTGAGCTTGGACAGGGAGACCCACTCCTTATTACAGGCATCAGATATCATTGGTCGTGATTAAGAAAAGAAAAGAATCATAAAAATGTTAATGCAAGATCATCCAGCATGGGAAATACATCCCCGTGCTTCCCATAGTTGGAATTGGAGGCCAGGGGAAGGCAGCCCTAGCCAAATTGGTTTTTAATGATGAAAGGGTGGTGTATAGTCATTTTGGTTTGAGACTCTGGATGTGTGTTTCAGAGGATTATGATTGAAACAATTAATGGTGAAAATCATTAAAGCTGCAAAGGGACGTAATGGAAATTGTGGCAACATGGATTTGGAGCAATTACAGAAGGTCTTGCGAGATTGTTTAAAGTGAAAAAAGTATTTACTCATTATAGATGATGTGTGGAATAAGGAAAATATAAAATGGAATGATGAACAAAAACAGATGTTACAGGGAGGAGCAAAATTGTAGTCACCACTCGTATTGACCAAGTTGCAGAGGGGGCACAATCCCAACACACAATTTTCACTGTCGTGTTGAAAATGAAGCTTTGTTTTTGTTTCTCCAATTTGCATTCAAGGTGAATCAATATCCAAACCTAGTAAAAATTGAGGAAGATATAGTTCAAAAATGCAATGGAGTTCCTTTGGTTTTGAAGACCCTTGGGGGCCTGCTTCTCTTTAACACTTCAGAACATAAATGGAAACTTGTGACAGAGATGGAGTTGTGAAAGTTAGTGCAAAAGGAAAAAAAGCATTTTTCCTGTTTTGAAATTGAGATACGATCAATTGCCTCCACATTTAAAATAATGTTTTGCATATTTTTCGACCTATCTAAAGGATTATGTGTTTTCTGAGGTCGAGTTGATCCAATTTTTGATGGCTCATGGCTTGCTTCAATCCTCCAATGAAAATGAAGACCTAGAAGATATTGGCAGGCGTTACTTGAGTGATTTATCATCAAGATCTTTTTCCAAGATTTTGATAAAAAAATTTTCTTTTAATTATTTCAAAATGCATGATTTTCTTCATGATATTGCATTATCAGTGGCAGAGAACGACTGCTCTATGGTAAACTTCTTCAACCGTCATATTCCCCAAGGGGTTCAACATTTGTGCATTGAGAATTCCAATTTTCCGGTAGAAAACCTTTCAACTGGGTTCCTTTATAACAATAAACCATCCCAATTACGCTTCAAAAAATATGAAAGAGAGTGCAGACAGTGAATCCCGTATTAAGAAATGCATTTCAAGGTTTCAAAATTTGTGAGTACTAGATGTAAGAACATCTACTTTTGAAGTAGTGCCTAAAAAAATTGGTGGTTTGAAGCATTTAAGGTATCTCGGCTTAAGTGGCAATTCCAAAATCAAGAAACTTCCGATTCCGTACGTAAGTTACAGAATTTGCAAACTCTCTATTCATTGGTTGTGAGGAAATTGAAGAGATGTACAGAGATACGAGATGCATAATCAGTCTCAAAACCTTGGCAATAAGTACAAAACAAAGGGATGTGAGAATGGACTAGAACACTGGTTCTATGTGAGAATGGACTAGAACACTTGAAATCCCATTGGTTATTGTCAAAACTTAAAAGAGTTTTTGTTTGAAGAGATTCGAAACCTCACCTCCTTTCACCTTGATGATTATTAGTTGCAAAAGCCTGATTTCACTACCGCAAGGCTTGAAATCTTCAACCGCATTAAAGCATATGGTAATTTGGGATTGTGAAAAGCTTGATCTTAATATGACATTGGGATTCAAAGGGAGTGGAAATGAAGATTATCAACTCATTGGCAGTGAGTTTGGCCTTCAAACATTAATGATTAGAGGGTTACCAAAGTTGGAGGCACTACCCTAATGCCTCACTTTGCAATTCCTAGTACGTTGGGAATTTAAGAACCTCACAATTTTTATCAGAGAAACAGAATCTCACGTCCCTTGAAATATTTGAGATTCTTGACTAGGC